ACAACAAGAAAGTTCTCCAACAAAAGATCCATGAAAAAGTTCAACCAATTACGAAGATTAGTAAAAGTCTACAAGGTACTAGAAAATGTTGAAAGTTCAGGAGAAAGTTCACTTACTAATAAATGCCAAAAAACAAGAGAAAAGTCTGCAAGTTCTCCAAAAACATCGAAAAACAAGAGGAAAGTCTGCAAGTTCTCCAAAAATGTCAAAAGACAGGAGGAAAGTCCATGAGAAAGTTCTTCAAAAATACCGAAAACCACACGAAAGTTCTTCAACAAAAGATCTACGAGAAAGTTCAACCAATTCCGAAAGATTAGTAAAAGTCTACAAGGTTTGCTAAAAAATGTTTTTTTTATACATTTATATATAATTGTTTTTTAAATAGATGAGGTTTAACTGTTAGTAACAAAAAACAAAAAAAACTGACAAGAACAATATACACAACGTAATGAAAATTTTATCGATCATATACTAACGATATTAATCTAAAATAAATTAAAGTTACGAGTTACTGACCGGTATATTCTGGAATTTTTAGAACCATGAAAAGTTATTTTTAGATCAAAAATCTTGTTTATTGTATTTTTTTTTAAACCTGATTTACTCAAAATGATTTACATGTAAAAAAGGGCTGTTTTAATTGATAATCTTCCATATATTGTAGACTTATGATAAGTGATGTGTATTTTTTTATAGAGGGCAGAAACTATTTAATTACAAAAATAAGACTCTCAATCAGACAATAACTTTTTTGGACAACTGTGCCTGCAAATAAGGTCTTCAAAAATGAAATTGACAACAGTTTTGGCATTGGCTTTTTTAATAGAAAAGCTTCAAGCCATTTTGTAAGATATTCGGTAGCTACTATAATATACCAGTAATTCTTTAGAATTTTCAGAAGTGGTTCCATAATATCAATTCCAATTTGATCAAAGATCTGGCTGGCTGACTTTAATAGGATATAATGGTTCTTTAGTTTGCAGATACTTTTTCTTTTGACACCATTTATAGGTTTAGATGTATTCTTTAATATCATTTCCTATTTGAGGCCAGTAATAACGGGCAGTGATTTTTTGATAAGTGGCTTGAAATCCAAAATGTCCAGCAAGAGAGTTGTCATGTATACTAAAAAGGATGGCTTGAATTTAAGTTGTTTTTAAGACTCTTAGAGGTCATAAAGGATCATATGAGTTAGTCTTGTAAAGCAACTAGTTTATCACAATATAGTGCCAAATCTTGTGTTCAAGATCTCTAATTTGCTTTTTAGTATAATATAGAAGAATAACAATTTTCTGGAGAAACTGAAGATAAATATTATAAATAGTTAAATTCATAATTTTGAACTAATTGTTTTTTTTTTTTATCTAGAAGAAAATAGAAAACAACTACAGAATAATATTGGAAGATTTATGAAAAAATCTTATTAATAATTTTATATACTACTGGGTAACTAGATTAAAAATATGTGATAACTACAGGATATCAATGAAAAAGGGTTGCCAAGATACCATAATCTGAACTGGATTAATGAATTTAAAAGATAAGTAAATCTTTTTTTTTTTATACTATAATTTAATTAATTTAAAATATCTATTTAAATACAAGATAAGCTATTGATGTTAGTATAGTACCTCTCAGGCTTATAAACAGTAGTAAAGGAATATTTCATCAAGGTCATAACCTATTTAGCGAGACAATTCTGTAAGAGTTTGATTGCAAATAGTAATTGAAGAGTAGAATAGTCAATATATAAAATGAAATAGCTTCTGTGAAAGTAAGGTCAGAAATATCAAACAGCCCAAATGATAGCTAAACATTCTTTTTCAGTTACAGATTATTTTTTCTTAGCTGTGATAAGGCTGCAGCTTGCATAAGATATGATTCTCTCATGATGATTATCATTATTTTGGGCTAGAATAGCACCAAGAGCCTGGTCAGAAACATCAGTAAAGAGAATAAAAGTTTGGAAAAAGTTAGGATAAATGAGTACTGGTAGTTATTAATTTTTTTTTAAGGCTTCAAAAGCCTACTGCTAGTTAGTAGTCCACTTATAGTTGATACTTTTTTATAGAAGCTAATTTAACAGTTCTGCAAGATTGGTGAAGTCCTTAACAGACTTCTAATAATAAGAGGCTAATTTCAGGAAGCCCCTAAGTTGTCGAATATTACGGAGGACAGGAAAATTCTAGATGGCTTCAATTTTTCTTGAGTCTGTAGCAATACCTGCCTAACTAATAACGTGATCTAAAAATTTTAATTCCGCTTCACAAAATGATACTTTGTAGGTTTTAGTATAAGGCTAGTAGAGTTTAACTGATAAAAGACCTCTTTCAGGTGGGTTAGGTGTTCTTCAAAATTTTTAAAATAGATGTTAATATCATCTAAGTAAATAATGATATATTGGCTGATCAAATCTTGGAATATATAATCTATTAGATATTGAAACATCGCAAAGTATTTACTAAGCCGAAAAGTATAATATTAAATTAAAAGGTGCCAAAGAGGTTGTAAAGACAGTTTTAAGTCGATCTTATTTGTCAACTTTGACCTGCCAGTATCCACTAGCAAGGTTTAAAGAACTATACCAGCATGATTCAGAGAGAGTGTTCAAAAAATCATTGATGTGAGGGAGGTAATAATTATCTTTAATGGTGACAGTGATTAATTTACAATAATTGTTGCAGAATTGGGTACTCCTATCTTCTTTAGAAACAAGCACAATGGAAAGTCCAAGGGCTTTGACAAGTGCAAATAATACTAGTTGAAATTATATGCCTGATTTTATCTTGAATAATTTTTTTTTAGCAGAAGAATGATGGTAGAGATATTGTTTAATCAGGAGTATGTCACTAGTATCAATACGATGCTTCACAAGGTTGGTTTAACCTAACAGTCTCTTTTTTTAGATAAAGAGATAAAGGATATTGTTTAATCAGAAGTGTGTTGTCGATGTCGATACAAGCTTTACAAGGTTGGTTTGATCTAACGGTCCTTTTTTTAGATAAAGAGATCAAGATTATTTTTCAGGAATTGTTGAAGCCAGAAGTATTGTTTAGATTCTAATTTTCCAATCTGATAAGGATCTTGGCAGTTTTCATAATAATAATCAAAAAGGTCACTAATAGGAAATTCAATAGCAGAGAAATCTGTAATACACCTGTGGAATCAGACTTGACAATTTCTTT